AGCTCAAAGAGGACTGCTTGAAAATACAACCTCACACCTGCACAGTGGGCCACAGCGAGAGCCTCCTTGTTCCCAGCTGCCAAGATCTGCACACCAAGCAGCATCCTTTCTCTCTGTTGACTGAGAGCCACAGAAACCGCTTAAAAATTCTTTAGACTTGGTAAGCCCTGAGTATAATGACGAAGCTCTCTAACTGGTTTACTTACCTTGGCACGCCAATGTCATGGATGATACGATTTCTGGGCCAATCGGAGGTTTCACGTACGGTATATCGTGCATGTTCTCCACTATAATTCCGTCCTGAATCAAGAAGCACCTTGACCGATGTTAACTAGCATTACTCTTTTACGACTTGTAATCAATGCAGCACCTCGATGTATAAAAATTGAATAAATACGACCTCTTTAAACTTCCTGCTCATATGTGCGACCCACTCTGCAACGTTTCTATTGCCCCAATATGGGCGTGTCTATCCCATTTCGTCTGCCAACTGATTGCTTATCGTTTCCCACATTTTCCACTCTCCGGGCTCTTTTGGAACCGATTTACGAATTTTTGAAAGTTTTGTAGCAAGCACCGCCCACCTATATTTCGCGCCCGCCCAATATGGGTGTGCATCCTCATTTCGTTCGCCAACTGATTGATTATCGTTTGCCACATTTTCCACTCTCCGGGCTCTTTTGGAACTGAATTATGTACTTTTGAATGTTTTGTAGCAAATACCGCCCCCCCCCCCCATAGCACGCTCCGACCAATGTGGAGTTTGTCTTCCTCGTTCGTCAACCAACTGACTGCCTGTCCTTTCTCACATTTTCCGCTCTCCAGGCTCTTTTGGACCCAAATTAGGAACTTTCGAAGTAACAGGCTCCTGGCTAAAGGCACGCCCCGCCCATAGTGGGCGGGACATAGCTTGGTTCACGTGTGTTCCGTATATCTTGTCCAGCCCTGTTCATCCCACACTCTATATATGGTAGGGTAGGGAGCACACAGTAGTTTCGAGGCAGCGCCAACAAGATGGTGTACAATAAAACGGTAATAATCTCACAGACGGAAAATTTTGTCGAAACGCTTTACGAACCCCATCTCATCAGCAAAATTACGACCCCGTGCTTACCACTTGAGCGGACGCGTAAATTAGAGCTTCTTTCTTGACGACTTCGAGAATCTCAGGCAGGGACAGCTTGTTCATTGGAGTTCTAGAAAAAAAATCGTTGTCAAGAAATCTAGACGACACTGCCATTGCCAGCTGACGAAATAAACAATAACCCTGGCAGAATGTGTTCGTACATGAATCATTCCGAAAACGTATGGCCGTGCATAATCCTTTATTACACGAATAGCTCGATTCATGGCTGCAAAATGATGTACAGGTGACGGGCGTGGCAGGAGGGATGGGTTCGGACAGCTATACTCTTACCAACCTCAAGACACATGTGTGGAACAAGCTGGCGCCGCGCTTCAAGCCCAGCTCTCAAAAACGCATTCCGCGCTCCGCAGCGAACGAGGATATTCTGTACATAGTGTGGTTAGGAAAATGATCCTACTACTATATATATAATAATCGCCTAAGTTTGTCTGTTGGTGTAGTGATGTGCACTGTTTTGCGTCTGTGATTATACGGAAATTCACAACTTCCTTCAAAGGAGCGGCAGAGCGTTCAAACTGATAAGTGACGTAGGGGGTCGGGCAGGAACACTGTAGGTGGCAGGAACTGATCCAACCTCAAATTTATACCACAAGGGTCTTAGAAGGCGGTGTGAAAAAGGTCATCAAAATCTCATAGCCGTCGCCAGAGTAACGACCGAGCTTGGATCAAGAGCCAACATAGGGGCAGGATGGAACAATTCATTTGGTGGGTGCAGAAGTGATAAACCGCTGATAAGATACCATGAGGAGCCTTAAACCAAAGAGTGGTACCAACTCATAACACCGCCAGTGGAGTAACACCGGGCGCCTGGATCCAAGTTTAGATGAGATAGAGGGGGCAGGATGGAACATTTTCGGCTGGGTGACAGGAACGGCATAAGAGTGATAAGATACCAGGGTTCTAGAATGGAGCTCATCAAGTTCAAGCACCGCCAGAGCAACGGACGGACCTTGAGATCCGAGTAAGTACAGACAGGGCAGGATGGGAACATTATTTGTGGGCAGGCAGTGATAACAGCTGATAAGATACCATAATAGGCCTTACAAAAGGAAGACCAACAACATTATAAATTGCGCCACAGCGACGGTAAGGTGTCGTTTCCACGATAGGGGGCAGGATGGGAACCTTATCGGTGGGTGGCAGGACGTTATAACAGCTGATAGGACACAACAGCCCTTACAAGGGAGGTCCGTGTGAGCGCGTGGTGAGCTTTTTCGAAACGATTTGTTGCATGTTGTAGGGGTCCATACAAGGACCACACAGATGGGTTTCATTTTTGCTAAACGCTATTGGGAATGTCAAAAAAGGAATAAAAACAAATCGCTTAAAATACGCAAGTTTTATCATCTCATTCGCATCTGTTTCAGCTGTAAAGCAGAATACAAAGAGTTTAAAGTGTTTCTCAACTAGACATGAAAAATAACATTGAATAAGGTCGAAATACAAGTGCCTTACTTGGCATACAAGGAGGTACACTGCAATTTCTTTAGGGGCTTATGCAGCATCCCTTCGCGCTCGCAGTGGCCTTTTAGCGCCACGCTGGCCCCAGATCACGTCGGCGCCATAAATAATTGTCAGAATCGTGATCAGGGCCATTGATTACCCCTGTTTGAGAGGTTTCAGCGAAAAAATTTTTTTCGAGTTTCTTTAGTGGTCATGGACCTGACCCCTTGGATGGCAGTGACAGGCGAACCCTCCGTTAAGTATCCTCTCTGGCAGACGAACCGCCAGAAATTTTTCATTTCTTGCCCCTCAACTTCAGTAGGTCTTCATAGAACATCTTGCTAGCTTCGGAGCCACTAAACGAGCATCCTGGATCTTTCTTCACTTTTACCGTCTATGCTTTCGAGAAAGAACTCGTTACCACTTGCCCGAAGAAAGGTTTTTGTTTCTCATATCAAAGGTATGAGAGGAGTGCAGTGTATGTGCGTCACTTTTTTTGTGTAGTTTTTAATTCTGCGTCTGCATACTAGCAAATGAAAAGCTTCCTCTTAACGATGTTGGATAACGACTCCTTATGGGAGGGGGCTGGCTGATAGCCACTAGCTGAAGACATGACCGGCAACATAGCACAAAAAGCTCGGGAAAATTTTTCTTGGCGTAACTCTATACGTAGGGGTGATTGTGGTCCTGATCACGGTTCAGATACTTATTTTTGCCGCGAAGGCCATCTGGGGCCAGTACGGCGCTAAATAGCCCCGCCGCGCAGACTGACAATGATGGTAGTACGAGAAAACCTTTGCCCTAAATTAGCGATACATTGCGCCATATTCAAAAATCAGTGTCGTGTCCATGATCAGAGCATCGGATAACCGCACGCTAACCACGTTTCATGAAGAGTTTTCGATAGTATTTTGCGAAGCCAATAACTAGAAGTGAGGCCAAACTTTTGAACGGTTGCCGCATTAGAATTCCCTTCAAAATGTCGATATATCCGGGTCATACACATTATGGGGCATACAGGAATACAAGAAGCAAGAAATGTGAAAAATGCAAAAAGTTGCACCGGCGAGGGGATCCGATCCACAAACCCACCGTCCGAGAGCCCGTCGCACTATCCACCACACCAACTGCCACTGCGACACTGCAGATACAGGACCTGTTGAAGAGATATGCGCAGATGACCGAAAAACTCCAATGGAGCTCACCGCATGCCAAGTAGACCATTTGGATTTTGACCTTATTTTGCTGTTCTCATGCCTGGCAAGATTACCCTACATATACGGTATACAAATTGCAACGCTTACAGCTTAGAATAGAGGGGAATAAGGTGGTTTTAAAAAGCCCATTCTTTTCGAATGTTTTTTTGACCTTTTTTTGACATTCCCAAAACCGTTTAGCAAAAATGAACCCCATCGCTGTGGTCCTCGCATGGACCCCTACAACATGCAACAAACCGTTTTGAAAAAGCTCACCACGGCCCTGATGAACGCCTATCCCTCTGGTTTCAGCCAACACGAGTCGTAGCAACACTGGGAACTACCCTCCTGCAAGTGATTCAGACGCTTTGGTGGCAAGAGACATGTTGTGATACTGCTCCTGACAAGGGCTTAGAGTTGGGATCTGTCCCCCTCCCTACTCTGCTTGCGATTGAGCTTCACTGTGCCGATTCCAGGAAACATCGATGAGCAAAGGCTGATGAGCCAGCGCCACTTCTATCGCTTGAGTGATATAAAGACAAATTAGATTCAACCGCTAACTCTAAATCATTCTTCCAGAAGCTAAAAAGTTTAAGAGGTTTGCATGAGAAGTTGATTAATCGACCACAGCAGACGGACTGAATAAAGCTGCTCAACGGAAACGCGTAGGAAATAAGTAGCTTCCACAAGACGATGGTAATTTACCCACCGAAAACTTCTTTTCAACTGCCCTAAGTTGCGATATTCCATCAAATGGGGTGTTTTTTAGCAAAGAAGATAAGCCCATTCAGACATTGCCGTAAATGTTCATTGAAAAGGTGAAATATGGTGCAGTAAGCCGTACTTTGAGACATGGAATCAAGCCAAGTGTTAGTGGTCAGCACAGAAATCCTATCAGCAATCAGCACCCCGGCCGGACGCGCAGTAGTGTGCGTCAGCCAAACTGTTAGAAATAAGACTTTTTTTTCTGGTAGCAACAATAAAGAAAACGAGATGAGGCACCTAAAAAAAACCAACGTTCTGTGATTTCTTACTGTCCACTTAGTCACATCTATATGAGTGATCTCTTAGGCTGCGTCCATACTTTGCGGACGGTGTCTACAAGCGTCCACCACTCACCGGGAATAGATAGTATGGGGAAGTAGGAGGGTAGCATACAGCTGGATTAGGCGTCGTGAAATTGCGATGTTGTGCAACCGCATCGCACCACTACACTACACCGTACACTGAATTGCGTAATTCTGTACTTTAGCGGTTGTGCGGTGCGGTTGCACACGTCGCAATTTCACGACGCCTAATCCAGCTTTGCTACATTTCTGCTTTCCCTGCTCTCTACTCCCGGTCGCTGTGAACATTAGTGGACGCCTAGATCGATACCTGCACTTAAACCTAAGCCTAGCCTTTGAGACGCAGCTGTACGCTGAAAGACTCTAGCTCAGGGCACAGCATTCAATGGGGATTATTGCCGTCGAGCTTTTACGACCCCCCTTTTTTGTAGAGGGTCTAGGTACGACCCCCCGCCGCCCGCCCCTTTTTATTTTATAAGATTAAACGCGAGCTGCCTACAATAACAAATATATGAATACCGCCCAAACGCCCGCCGCCCCATCCTTTTTTTGTTAGAGGGTAGTGTACGGACCCCCCCCCACCCCATGCTCGCTCGCTACATGTCTGACATCCCAGCTGCGTAAATAAGTAAGAAGTCACAATATCCCGGCGCGGAAAAAAGTATCGCTCGAGCAGAGGGTGGGATGAGGTATATTAGTAGAGCATCGACGTAACATTCGTACGGCGTACAATACCTTATTAACACAGAAAATTCATAAAAAACTTCAATGGAGGGAACCACAAACTCCTAAGCCAAAATTACGACTCTCTCCCAACAATGACTAAGTACGACCCCCCACGCACCGCCTTACACACGATCGTGAAGGGAGAAAAAATCAACTATTAAATAATAAATATTTCCCAATACCGAAATACGACCCCGCCCCCCCCCATAGGGAATCCCCATCGAACCGCTGCTGCTGCCGAGCTAGAGCAAATATCTAGCACTTCTTAGTCGGCTGACCGCTCGCCGAACGCCTCGGTACGAGTGTCTCGCCGTAGAGGCTGTGACGCTGCGCAAAGTAATGAACGTAGCGGCATACATATTCATTTCTGAAGTTGTACCCTAAGTTAGGTAGATTCCTGCTGCGTTGAGTGTATCCCAAGTCGCAAGCTACGCGCACAATGAACGTACTGTTTGGCTCCTCTCAAGCTTTCTTGAAGGTTCATTTTACGCCTGTAGTACGTTTGTTTAAGAATATTATTTAATTGCTTTTCAATAACAGTCAGAACCAAGACTTCTTCAGAGGTGATGATGAGATGAGAATTAATGAATTCATTTCAATATCGTATTTACAACGAAAAACAGAGAAAACATAAAAAGACGCGAGTGCGTCCATGCAACAAGAGCGCTGACTCATTCATGCGGGGAAATAAAACAGTTTCAAGAGTTCAGGTTCCTTGATTTCGAAATTGTTCTAGTTAAAAAAGGATCTCTGAGGTTAACATCTATCGTG